AACACTAGCCAAATTAATGAAGTATTGATTCAGACTTTTTCTTTACACTTTATGATTGAACTAGCATTGCCCGCGGCTCCGCCCGCGTTCAGATGACCAAAAACCAAATTCTTACGTTTTACCATATTACTATACTCTTAAATTGCACTTTTTGAATTTTTCTCAGAAATGAGACATTTTCCCGCGGTAAAAATTATCCTATATGTTGACCCGGATAACCAGCTATCACCATACCAAATTTCATCAAAATTCCTCCAGTGGTTTTTCCGTGATGCGGTAACAGACAGACAGACAGACAGACAGACAGACAAAAATTCTAAAACTATAGATTCGGTCTCTGTATCGATAATAATGTTTATTTCAATAAGATTTTCCAAAAAATGTTTCATGTACAGATTCGGCTCAGTTAGAATTTTATAATATGTGTATAGATTACATTATAAAGTAAAATTTACTGTGAAGCAACCCTACATACATGACCCATCCCAGCTGGCACGAGTATTACGCACGTGGCATTTTACAATTACCTATATACGTACATCCGCGTTCAGTATTGCGTCAAAATTTTGATTTCTATTAAATATAACAATTATATTATGTTTTTTTTAATTGCTTATTAATGTAAAAATAATATAATAAAAAGTCTGTCCGACGCAGTAATGCTTGCCTGTATACTAGGACTAGGAAAGAGGTCCTGGATTCGATTGATTAATTATCAGAGCAAATAATTGGTTGAAAAGAAAATAATATGAAGTATTTGTGACGTGCGCCGTGTAAAAATAAACATAATAAAGTTTGGCAGATATTATGCCGTACGCTATTCTTATACGCGTTATAAATTACGTTTTTCAGTTTCATTTTTATTACGCAGAATTTTAATTTGCTTTTGAATAAATTCACACGAACTTTGAAGTTTTTATTATATTTAAAAATTATTTCTATCTAATATGAATACGTACTACGTAGCATTTAGTTTTTCTAATATTTCACTATTAAAAACATAATAAATAAAAGAAAAACAAATATTAGTATCGTTCTTTAAACTTTTCGCACATCACCTTGGGAAATAAGCGGAGATTTAAAAATAAATCACTAAGTTTCCGTTTTGCCAATGACATTCAAACTTAGTCTATATATTTAATTTGTATCATAATAACATAATGGCTATGACCTATAAAAGAACATGAATAGAACCTTCGTAAGAACGTTAATATAATTTAACGTTAATGCTCAAATGGATAATGCTCAACACCACGCGGTGCTTCTCTTATCTCATTTCCTGACATTGTGTTGTCCTGCGGCTTGTGGCGAATATGATAAAATCTAGTTAATGTACATTGGTCATCACTACGAAAAAATATATAATTCAATATAAGCAAGTAACAAATAATATGCACACAATTTGAGGGAAAACACATAAAAAAATTTTTTTTAGACTTTGGCACTTTTCCTGGGTGATATGAAAGGAACTGAATAAAGAGACTTGGAAAATATTATAATTATTTAAATAATTTTTCGTATATTTTTATACATTATATAATGCACGTTTGTATAATATAGTCTGTATAATTTGTATAAATATTATAAATGTGAAAGTTTGTGAGTATGTATGGATGTTTGTTACTCTTTTACGTCGGAACGGCTGAACGGATTTTGGATGAAACTTTTCACAGAGATAGATTATAGTCTGGAATAACACATAGGCTTTTTATCCCGTAAAAATATACGGTTCCCGTGGGATAGATTTGTTTTTGTTTATCTAGAGGCAAATCCGAGCAAAACGAGGGTGAGCCGCTAGTAAAATAAGTGAACAACAACCAAGCCAGTTCACTTTTTGCTGTACAATAAAGGTTAGATGGATTTACCGCAAATGGGTTATTATTACTTATTAACGATATGAAATGTTTATACGCAAAATAACAACTGGCAGAAATATTGCATCTACATTTTTATAACTAGGTTTTTCCAAACATTTATTTCCCTATAAAATGTACGTAAACACGTGTTTTTTAAACGAATTTTAAAGCTAAATCCGTACGTTACGAGCTGTTTTTGTTAAAGCGCCAATTTTTTTTTTGCATTTTAGCATAATCGAATGCGTAATGTTCGACCTTGGGACTGAGATTTATGGTGTCCGTCAAAAATACATTTTGAATATCAAGTGGTTGCTTCTTTACATATGAATTAGCGGATTTCATAATAATATATTGCCGATATAATATAGTTAATCTCACTTAATGTCTGATTGGCATTATTATAAGTTTTGATTGGTATATGACCAATCTTGCTCCGCTCGGGTACCTTTTGCCAAATTTTATGTCTGTGTTTCTATAGGTCATCTGTGTAGGTAGGTACTAAATTTTACCCAAATCCGACCAATTATTTTAGCGTAAAGAACGGATTTGAATGAAGTACCTAAACAGATAGACTATGGAGTAACACATAGGCTACTTTGTAATAACCTAGGGTCGCATCTGACTCTGAGCAAAGCAAGGGTAACTCGCAAGTAAATCATAACTCATAAGTAAAGAACAATAAAAATATAAAACTTATCTATATAATTTATGTGTATGTATGAGTCGAATCTGTACAAATATATAACATATAACAGTTATTATTATCGATACAGAGGCCGAATCTATACTTAGTTTTAGAATTTTCGTCTGTCTGTCTTACTGTGAACGCATTACGAGAAAACTTCTGGATAAATTATGATGACAGCTAGAAATTTGGTGACCCGGATCAACATATAGAATACTTTTTACTGCAGGAAAATATCACATCTCTGAAAAATATATACTGACTGTTAAAATGTTCCTAGAGACGAATTCGAACGGAGTGAGGGTGAGTTGCTAGCTACAAGAAAGAAGCAATTTAGTTTACATAATTCCACGAGACATGCAATGCCGTTATAATCACCAAAACAAATACGTCCTTGTACAAATTTTATTAAAAGTATTCAACCGGTTCTTTGAGAAACGCTAGCTTATAAACATGTTTTAAATACGATAATTTCATACATAATTATATCGAGGTAACGCACCTCGAAGGCTTAGTGCTCCAATTTAAGAAGAGATTTATCTACACTACTATTATAAAGAGGAAAGATTTGTATTTTTGTATGTTCGTAACGAATAAACTCAAAAATTACTGGACCGATTTAGATAAAATTTGGTACGAAGATAGTTTGAGACCCTGGGAAGGACATAGGATTTTTTATCCCGGAAATCGTCCCTTAAGGGGGTGAAAATGGGGATGAAAGTTTTTATGGGGAATCAACCTAGAGACGAATTCATGCGAAGCGATGGTGTTTGGTTGGAAAATCCTGTATTAGTGGGATCGTAATGGAATCGCATTGTGCTAAATGTACCTTTTAAGTTCGTTTAGATTTTATTTAGGCTGCGACATACTGAACGTCTTTGAAGCTCGGTAGACCCTCTGTTAGCCTATATTAAAGTAAACTGGTCTGAAACGCCAATTCAAAAATGAGTTTAAATTTTTCACTGTACATAACGTAACAGCATAAAAGAATCCCCTATAATTTTGTTATATCCATCTTACCAATGCTGCAGTATACATGTTTAAACAAATAATTTAAATTAGTTGATACAACATCTTTGATCTTATCTATACATATAATAAAATTGTAACTAAGTCGAATCTGTACATTAAATATTTTTTGGAAAATTTAATTGAAATAGACATTATTATCGATACAGAGATGTTACCGCATCACGAGAAAACCACTGGACAGATTTTGATGAAATTTGGTATGATGATAGCTGGTTATCCGGGTAAACATATAGGATAGGACTTTTTACCGCGAGAAAATATCTCATTTCTGAGAAAAAATACAAAAACTTCATTGTAAGAGTATAACTAATATGTAAAGCCTAAGAATTTGGTTTTTGGTCATCTGAACGCGGGCGGAGCCGCGGGCAATGCTAGTAGGCCATATAACGATTCCCACGATACGATTGATTGATTGTAGCGGAAAATGATAAACAATGCGACGTGCTTTTGAAAACACTATATCAATCATAAATATGACCGTTTCCTGTTGACAGCGAAAAGTAGTCAATTTTTTAAACTGATAATGTATTTGAACTATCACCCAATCAATAGTCTTATTAAGTCTAAATAATTCTTTGATTTATCCGCTATAGAGGTTGTGAAAATGTTATCGTTGGTTTATACCATTTGGAACATTAGTCATACTTGGAAATTACATATGATAAGCAAATGTTATTTTAAATGTTGTAATATTCATTATAAAAATAATATAATAAATATGTACGGTCCAGTCACGTTCAAATTTTAATCTTTCTATTAATTTAAACAAAAATTTTAACAGAAATGTGGTTATAAATTATAATATAAATTAATAAGATGTAAAGGTGAATGGATGGATGGATACACTATTATATCTAATGATTTACTATTTATAGGTATATTGAAAGAAATTATACTTTTTCAATGCCAAGAATATATACACCTTTATTTAATACTAGCACTGCCCGCGGCTTCGCCCGCGTTCAGATGACGAAAAATGAAATTCTTAGGTTTTACATATTAGTATACGCTTACATTGCAGTTTTTGTATTTTTTCTCAAAAATGAGACATTTCCCCGCAGTAAAAAGTATCCTATATGTTGACCCGGATAACCAGCTATCACTATACAAAATTTCATGAAAGTCCCTTCAGTGGTTTTTCTGTGATGCGGTGACAGACAGACTGACAGAAATTCTAAAAACTATAGATTCGGCCTCTGCACTGTATCGGTAACAATGACTATTTAAATAAGATTTTCCAAAAAATATTTAATGAACAAATTCGGCTTGGTTAGAATTTTATTATATGTACCTATGTATAGATAAAAGAAATTACAAATATACTTAATTATATTTATATATAAAACAAATGTACACTTAATTATTACTATAAAACTATGTACCTATATTATATATATACTATTTCTAACAATATTCTTCTTTCGCAGGCTGTCTGACATGTGTCCAAGTACTGAACATCATGGTGCTTCTCGGCTTTATGCTGAACTACGCCCTCCGTGTCAATCTGACCATCGCTATCGTGGAGATGATCTACGACGGCAAAAGCAATACGACAGTTATTGCAAACCTCACAGACTCGCTAAATGTCACTCAGGTTCGTTCTAAATTAACAATTTAACTCGGAAGATTTACACAAGTTACTAAATTTTACTACTATAAAATAATAATAGTGCTAATATTTAATAAAATCTATTAAAAAAAATTCTATGGTAATTATAAGTTCAATATTATGAAATATTAAAAATAATATTAATTATTGCCGTAGTGGTTTCAAACTATCATTTCTGAATGCGCGTGGTCGCGATATGCCATAAAATTGACCTCGTTTTGATAATTTCAAACAATAAAGATGACTCGTCTGTCTGCGGTAAATAATTCTAGATTTTTTAATGTCATAATGTAAAACAAAAATATTCGTCATTGTTTATTATATTCGACGAAAACGAAGTTTTTGAAACATTATATCTTATATGTTACTGCTAAACCTAATACGGGTAATATTATAATTTTCTATTAAAATCTTCTCAAGATTAAGTTAAATTCAGACAACAGTATATATATTTAGATTTTAGCTATTTATAAAAACACCTAAACAATGCTACAAGACAATGAAACTATGTAGTTAAATAGATTTTAGATTTTACTACAGAATATTAGGCAAATAACGTGTATAATAACTAAAAATTGTTAATTTTATTCAGCATCCAGAACACATCGAGCAGACCCGCTATCACTGGGACACGAAACAGAAAAACCATCTGCTAGGATGTTTCTTCTGGGGATACGTTCTCACAGAGTTGCCAGGCGGCCGACTGGCAGAAATCATAGGAGCTCGGTGAGTTTGGATCCATTGATTTTGATATTAATTATATTTGAATTATCTATGTAATTCAAAAAGAGATGGCTGTTTGTTGGTAAATGCATCGCATGAGAACGGCTGAATGGCATAGAATTAATAAAAAAGGTTTGGAAAGTTCCCTAGAAAATTGGGAAATTTGGCAAAAACTTAATTTTTCTCAAGAATTTTTGAACCTGTAAATGTTTTATACATCAACAAATGAATTTATTATACTTTGTCAGGATAACGTATGTAGGCTCACCCAGTTTAAACTAATGAATAAGCCCGTATTATAAGAAAAAAAAATATAATTCGTTAAAAAAGGAAATTAAGAAAAAGTTCTACTATAATCTTTGAAATGAAACAAAATGGATTGGATTATTATAAATGAAACAATTTGACACTTAAAACTGTAACAAAACGGATCATTTTTGTTTGAAACTCTTTTGTTTGTAAAAGAATGGCAGATGTATCCTGTATGATTAATACTTTTCTCGGAAATAAGTCGAATAATTTACTGGGCGTTGACCGAAAGGTATTAAAACGAATCAATTGAAATAATCGATTTTTGTAACTTTACAACTCTTATTACCCGAGTCATTGAAACGAGTTTTTTTAAATAACTTTGAATTCATAATGATAATAGTTATTATTGACGATTGTAATAAAATAAAATATTCTCAACACTTCATGTTGCCATTGTTTCTTTTTATGATATTTGAATTGTACCAATGTAGGTATTTTATTAGCTATTGCTCTTTATAAATCCGTTTAATGCATTTATAAATAGCAAAAATCTATTACTATTTAAGTATAATAAATCATATTGAAATAATAAACCCTACAAATTTAAATATTTACGAGAACGGTTGCTACAGATGGAAGTTAGACCCACTACGTCTCACAGATGGGCAAAGTCATCACGTTATACAGCCATAAAGATGTTTAAATTATTTAAATTCAGCAAATTTAAACTTTATACTTCAATAAAAACTGTGATTAAGCTTGGTTCAATAGTCATAACTACCTGCATATTGATAATAAGAAAAACCCATCAACGAGCATGCAATGAATTAATTAATGATGAACGGCGAACTTTCTAGAAGCACTAATAGAAGAGTCAGCGGTCAACGAGGATTGATGTCCACAATCCGCATTCGTGCAGGTCCTTGGCAAACATGTCTGCTAATTTGTTATGACATAATGTCTAGTAATTCCTAAATATGCAGTTAATAAAAATTCATTTATTGCTTTGAGTTTTTTTACATGTTCATTAGTGTTTAATTGGTCGTATTACACATATACTCGTAATGCCAATGTCATTGTATATAATTGCGTTTTTATAATTTAATTACTGGGATTATTTACATATTTTTGGGTAGCTATGAGCATTTTAAGTTTCACATAATTAATAAATAACTCTTGCTCATATTTAGTACACTAGCGTTTTCCTGCGGCTCTGCCCGCATAGTACATTAATCACCAACGTATCATATACTAAAACCTTCTCCGGAATACGCTGCATCTTATGGTATGAGTATTATTCCGATCGGTTCAATAGTTATCACAGTATTAATAACCGAACAAAAAAAATCGGGTCTCAATTTATTAGTATAGATAGATATGCTCTTTTGCTATCGTTCTTTTACCCCATCGAGTAGTTCTCGTTCCTTATGGACGTGTTACTAGTTTAAAGTAATGTTACATCATATTCAAATTCAATTTATAATAAGTTACCTATAAGTTTTTCTGTAAAGGTACTGTTAGTAAAAGGTGTTCGATTATTAGAGGTGTTACACTTGGAGAGCAGATAAAACTGTCGGTCTTGCGCATGATTTTTCGCTGATCGTGTCGAGTTGTCCTCCCACCGGACTTTGAATGCACATTGTTTGCGCGTACACTTCCGCAATCCCTATTGCAGGTGGGTAGTTTCACTGGAACATCTTATTATTATAGTGCAGAAAACAAAATAAAAATTAAAGTTAAGTTGAGTGCAGAGTTTACACTTTACAGGATGTCTAAGTCAGTCAATTTGATCTCTCGTGTAGTTGCATGGCGTCAGCTGTATCGAGACTGGTTTATGACTAACGCAGTGAATAAGGCATGTGGGACGATCGGTTCAAACTTTATTGCCTTTTCGAGTTAATTGGATATTATTTACCACTTATTTTATATCGAAACATTTCATCGGCGTAATTTCTGGGAATACCGATAGTACCGTTGATTGATAAAATATTTTCAGTTTAGTTAATAATATTGGATATTTGATATCTATAGCAGATATTAGACCTTTTTATAAAAAAAGATATTTGTTTACGTAAAATGAAAATCAATAACAAAGATAACAACACTATTTTTGCTATGTACTTCAGTTAATGCTGCTATTTTACAATTTAAATTCCAATAACTACGAGTGATTCAAGCGGAACGTTCGAGATATGATTGGATTTACTTTAGCTAAAGTTTTAAAAACATAGTAAAAATATATTCATTCTTTCCTTCTCAGAATAAGATGATACTCTGCCTTTTTCTGAGCTATCCCTTGCCTGAAGGCTGTCCAAACCCATCCCAAATGTATAAAAAATACATTTGGGAAGGGTTTGGACAGCCTTCAGTCTTTGTAGTTTTTTTTACGAATCCCTATTTAGATTAATTTTTTACTGCTCAAGTGGTTTCTCCTGACAATATAAGACGCACAGTCTTGTCGCATTGCATTACCTATATATATATATATATATATATAATATATATATATATATATATATATATCGGGGGCGATAAATCGATCTAGATTAGTCTTATGTCTAGGAAAACGCCAGTTTTTGAATTTTCATGCGGTTTTCTTTTGCGTTATTCCACGCAAAATATTATGTTCGATAATTTCGCACGCTCGCATATAAGCATCATAGTCAAGCAACAAATTAAGGCGCAAGATTGAATAAGTGTCCAGGTTCGATTCCCGGTCGGATGCAAAGTTTTTTTTGTATTTATTCAAGTTTTTAGTTTTTTTTTTAAGAAAATTGTACTTTTTACCAAAAAAGTCCGAGCGAAGCTCGATGGCCCAGGTACTATAGTTTATTACGTACTATTCTCCTTATCTACGATATAAAATTATCTTTGATTTTACTATTTATGAAATAGTAAATATCTTTTAATTCAAAAAATACAGCCAGCGAAAATATTCCTTTTGCACAAATTGTTTTAACTTGAGTTGAAGTTGATTTAGCAACTATTTTTTACTTTTTATGGAGTAATTTTATTTTGGAATATAGAATGTTATGTTATTCTTAACCTGTCTATGAAATAATAAAGTAATTGTTTTAAAATATATTTCTTTTAAATTGATTATAATTTATTTAGCTTTATCAACCTTTTATGAATAATTCGTTTAAACTTTTAAAGTAGGCGTTTTCACATTAAAAATGTCTGTCTAAATTCAAAAAAAAAACAAAATAGAATGGCATATATGTTAACTGTAATTTATAAATAATACGGTAAAGCAGAAACTATTCAATATTAATTTGGTGGTTACTCGCACATGGATAATTTACACTTTATTTGCGAATGAATCATGCGGAATGTTCTACAAAACATGCGGGCGTTCGACGTGGTCTGCTAATAATATTAAAATTCTCATTCCATCCGGCAAATTATGACATGCTAGCATTACCCGCGGCTCTGCCCGCGTTCAGATGACCAAAACCAAATTGTTAGGTTTTACATATTAGTATACTCTTACATTGCAGTTTTTGTATTTTTTCTCAGAAATGAGGCATTTTCCCGCGGTAAAAAGTATCCTATATGTTGACCCGGATAACCAGCTATCACCACACCAAATTTCATCAAAATCCCTCCAGTAGTTTTTCTGTGATGCGATAACAGACAGACAGACAGACAGACAAAAATCCAAAAAATTATAGATTCGGCCTCTGTATCGATAATAATGTTTATTTTAATAAAATTTTCAAAAAAATATTTAATGTACAGATTCGACTTAGTTACAATTTTATATATGTATAGATTAATAAAAAAACTATTCCATTATTACTTTTATTTGAATTAGGTATATACTGTATAATTTTATTTTATAGTTGTTAATTTATTATCTATTCTTCTTTTTGAAAAACTGTCGATCAACGTCTGGTGTAATTTAGGCTTTGTTTATGTTGTAAGTTTATCGTCTGTGCCTATGGATATTGTGAATTGAATACCATTAGGAATTAAATAATATCAACAATATGTTTTTTCTTGTTACCAGGCGAGTTTTTGGCTACAGTACTCTTCTAGCCAGTGTTCTCACATTGCTGTCTCCAGCTGCAGCATCTCTTGGCTTCGGATGGATCGTGGCGCTTAGAGTAATTCTTGGCTTCCTACTCGGTGCTACATGGCCTGCTATCCTCCCGATGGCCTCAAAATGGATTCCTCCCATGGACAGATCCAAATTCATGTCCAACATGATGGGTAAGTTATGCATTTTATTTTTTTACAACTTTTACGATTTATAACGTTATGTTATATTATGCTTGTTTTAAGCTTTTGTCTCGTTCCTTTTAAATATGCACACATATTGAACAATTACACAAAACAATTACACAATTAATGGCCGATTTCACCAACGTCACGTAAGTTTAAGGGATCCCCTAAGCATGGGCTTTTAGTAGACAGTTTCTGTTTCACCGACAGTTAGGGGTCATTTAAAGTTAAAATGCCACCTAAATATAAGTACTAGAAATACGGGCTCTGACGATGGTAAAACGAAATTTAATTTAGGGGATAGTTTAGGGGAACTTTTAAGCTAGGGATCCCATACGTAGGTGGTAGCTTAAGTGATGTTGGTGAAATCGGGCATAAGGCTTTTTAATTAGGTACATAGTATATTTTATACAGGAACTATCATGTTTATTATAATTATATACACATGTCACAGTTAAGATTAATGACATTAATATCTCTATCTTAAACCAGACAATTTTCCAGACGTCACGTACTTATATAAAGAATTAGGCGCTATAATACGCAGTAATCTATCCTTGACCAAAGATTTGCCATTGTTGATTATTATCATTTAATTTTCATGAAACATACATTTGTTATCGTAACCGGTAACGCGTAAACGTCCGATATGAAGCAATATGGCGTCGCGTCGGAGGCGCGCGCAGGCGTGGTCGCTGACGTCACGTTAATGCAGCGCTTTGATTGGTCGATGTAACTTGACCGCGCGAATTAACCTTGCGCAACGGTTGCTATGCGCTAGAGATAACGAGTGGCATATATTTTTATAACCGACTAGATGAAACGGAAATGCGTCACGACAAAAATATATATCGGACTAGCGACTCACCCTCGCTTCGCTCAGGTTCGTCCCTAGTTTGCTTCCCAATATAAACTTCCATCCCCATTTTCATCCTCTTAAGGGATGATTTCCGGGATAAAAAGTATCCTATGTCTTTCAGCGTTTCAATCTATCTTCTTACCAAATTTCGATTCTGTAGGTCCAGAGATTACCCCCTACAACGTCACAAACACACAAACACACAACAGCACAAACTCACAAACTTTACTTCTTTATAATATTAGTATAGATTTTAAAACCGTAGTGAGTTTCAATTTTCAAACTCCTTTATATTTTAAACAGCAACTACCTACATTATTTAATAAAAGAGACCTTATGAGAATTAAATAAATACATATCTAGTTTTGGCTGATTCTTAAATATTTTTAAACGATCAATTATAACATATTTCATTCATTCCTTTACAAATCGATAATCTTTTTACGATTTAAATAATCGTTATTATCATACTCATTTTTGCTAGATTTTATTAATCGTATTCAATCGTTTTCCATAATAAATCGATTATCAGACGACAGCTAACACGCTCGATTTACTTATTAATTTATGTGCTTAGGAGAAAAGTACTAATTCACGGTTTTTTTTATGAAGTATGACAGTGTAACGTGTAATGATATTCGCTCACAAGTCGCAAGGTTACATCTGAATGTTCGTTTGCGAAATATCGCCTTCATACAAATATAAAGAGTCATCGATATAAGTCAGATCCCATCTTGCTATCTATATTGAGGTTAATGTTTCGCGAGTCCATACATAATAACATCGTATGAAATTGTCATTTTTTTCGCAATTAAATATAATATATTTTATGAATTCCCATTTAAAAAATATATTGTCATGGGCGGCGGTAGAATTATTTCTAGGGGGTTGCATCTACTTCTTCACAATAAACTACTAGCTAATCTTTAAATGATTAACTTTATAATTTTTATTTTTATGTTATTTATCATATTTTTCGCCTGTATTTAAAAAGCAGGGATTTTACTAATACAATTTTATTTCTTTAACTTTTTCTTTATATTTTCTTTTATGAACTCGGGGAATTGCACCCCCTTACACTTCCCTCTCGGCGTCTATTCATATGACGTATAACATAATTTCTTAGAATTCCTCAATTTTTAACATGAGTCTTAGCGAAGGGTGAATGGTCCACCTTTTAAACTTTTAATTGTCGTGATATATTTATATTATAAAAATAAAACTATAACGTATACCGAAATTATTCAATAAATTCTTCTCATGTACTCTATATTTGATAGCACGGTCATGTCAACATCCTTGGTCTAAATAGAGCGCACACGATGCAATAGAGTTAGGTCTCGGAAAATTTCTCAAACGATTCCTTCATTCACATCCGAAGATTCCAACACAAATCAATTTTATGCATCATTAATTATAATGTATGCCCGATAAACAAACAGTCGTCTTATTGATAAGTTTAATCACTACGACGATACTCTGACGACTCCATTATTATTGTTTTATAATATTATGTTTACGTAACGTACATATTTGCGTCACGGAACATAAACCACGATTTAAATTAATAATAACAAGGAAGCCGTTTTAAAAAATATAAAAAAAAACAAATATTTATGGATTAAATTACGTATTAAATACTAATGTTTGGTGAAAATTAATTATAATTAATTCATTTGTAGAATTTAATAAAAAAAAACGTGTGTGTATTTATGTACGAGTACGTACGTAAGAAGTTAGTTATACTTCTGTGGCATAACAGAACAAAAATAGCTAAAGAGTTGATAAGTAAAAATTTTACTCTTATATTTTTTACCAAAGGTGCCAAAAGAAGTATAACTTCAAAAACCTAGTTTTCTTTTCAAATTATCCTTAATTAATTTAGAATATATTTTGAATATATGGGAAAAGTCCTGCAATAAGTAAATAGGCTGGTCACCCTGTCATTAATTAGCAGAGCGCCAGACATTACATATAGCAGTTGGTACTTGTCAATAGATTTATGATTTACATACATACATATTTGATATATAACGGTAACGTACGGTTCAATAGTTCAAATGTACTAGTTTACGGCATCGTCATTCGTAACACAATTTGTTCGTTTATTACAATTCTATTCTATGATATAAATTACAGTTTAATTACTACCCTACATGAATACATGTCTACTTTATTATATGGCTAATATAAATATTTGCCTCAAGCGGGACTCGAATCTATAATCGTAGGGGCATGTTGTTCAAAAGCCACGAGGTCGGCAGTGTCATCTTATTTTATCCTTAATGTATATTATATTTTGTCACTATGTGTGTCACGATTTAGTAGGTAGAATATATTAATACCTTTATACGTACGCAACTCGCATTAACGCCCTTTGTCCTTTCCTTGCAAAGTCCTTGCAAAAGGCTACATAATTTTGAATTACTAACATTGCACAACTAATAAATAAATGAATAAATCACACTCTTACTTAAAATTAGTAGTAGAAAGAGTGAATCGAAAGTTATATGTATGTATGCACATTCTAACCTCTGATCCTGCAATAACGTTAATAGTAATTTGTAATTTAATTTTACTTCAACTCATTTATTTACAAATAAGTACATAGGTATATCAAATTAGTATATTAAATTAGCTAAATGTTAGGAAAATATTTGATTATTATTACTATGATAATGTTAACATAAGGAAAAATCTAAAAGGTCCATATCTCTTAGGATCACACGAATATTTGCTGTGCGACTATTTTTTTTCGGACATTTTCGCAGTTCTATTTTGATTATTCTCTATACACTTAGATCATGTTTGCTGTACAGGATTCAAAACTTTGGGAACACAAAAATCTAAATAAAACCGCGACAAAATCCGAAAACATGATTTTTAAAATCTAAAAGGTAATTTGATTCAAGACATGTGAACGCCCTCAGGCCTCAGCAACTGGGTCTAGGTACTCTGGAGGAAAAACCCACTATATTTTTATGACCGTCACACCTTGACCTCCCTTAAGTATATTCGCTAATGGAGTTTCTATATATGCAAATTTTTGTTTTTTCCTATGATATACAGTAATACCCCGGACTTACGCGATAGGTGGGACCGAACGATAACCGTGTAAGTCGAATTCGCGTAAGTCGGGGGTATTACTGTAACTGAATTAATATAATCTAGATTTAAAGCTAAAACGACGTAATAGCAGGAAATATATAAAGTTTAGTGTAATTCTAACATAGCCTTTAAGCCACACATTTTCTCATTACCATATTATCTTTCGTCATTTATTAGAACGTCAATTACATTGATACTAGAGTAGTATGTTTTTCTACAAACGATAACGCTGTCTTAAAAAAATATAACGTAATCAAATGACTAACTTTTGAATTAACGTATTAAAAAGAAAATCAGTGTAGTCAATTAGTGAGAAAGCTAACTCAAATAATTTTAACATAACATAGCTGTCCCGTATACGAGTCATATTATCATTATGGAAATGACCTAAAGAATATGTAATTCTTATGTATTATATTTTAATGTCTATTAGCTGTTGTATTATATATTGTAGAAAGTCGACTTGTGTAAGGGAATATAATATATAGGTACATATAATGTATGTATATAATACATATTATAAATTGGTACTAACTGCCGTTTGACCGTTGATAATAATGATATCATTGGTTTTAAAAAACTATAAGTCGAAATTTCACCAACGTAAAAACAACGATTATGGTATTAGAAATATTTTTTTATATATTTTTCTGTAATTTAATCATCTTACACCGTTTAAGTTATTCTTATTGATAGTACAAAGGAGACAGAAATTCTTTGTAAAAGTTTATTTACAGTTTTATTCATTTGTATTATTTTAATTATTCTTTATCTTAAAAATTACACTGTAAAATGAACTTTAAAATAGTTTAAATATATATATTTTTTAAATATAATATAAAGTACATAAATTGTAATATTTATTCATGTAATCATGTAATTATTTTTTTTCCAGCGTCTTCTCTGGGAGCGGCGATAACGATGCCGATCTGCGGTTTTCTCATAGCACACTTTGGTTGGGAATCCGCTTTCTATTTCACTGGTGAGCGATATTAAATATTGCAACAAAAACTAATCGAGACAGTTTAATTATTTTAGATCATTTGACTTTTTGAGAACAAATTAATAACACTAGATTATTGGCAAGCGATGTTATGAAATTATAATCTCGAAAATAAAAATAGCAATATAATACATATTACATACATCTTTATATATATATAATTCTTCTGTGAGTGTGTATGTCACTGAACTTCTCTCAAACGACTGGACCGATTTTGATGAAATTTTTTGTGTGTGTTCAAGGGGATCTGGGAATGGTTTAGATACACAATTTGAATAATAATTGTCATCAAAAAAATTATTAAAAAAAGTTTGAAATTTTCAAATTAAAGACGTGTAGACAGGACAACGTCTGTCGGATCCGCTAGTAATATATAAAAAGCAGAACGTTGAAAAAAGAAATTTAGTAAAAAACTAAGTACATACTTTAAAGTAAAAAATGTAGGATTTCCATATTTTAGTATGAATTAGTACATGTCCTGTTTCATATTTCTATTTTATATTGTAATTTTATTAATGTTACTATATTTCTTAGGTATTATTGGTGTCATGTGGTCGGTGGCATGGTTCGCTGTGGTCTACGACTCTCCCGCACAGCATCCCCGCATCTCTGAAACCGAAAGGAACTATCTCATGAAGGCATTACCGCAGGACGTTTCTAAAGGAGTAAGTTTTTTTTTTCATTAAATAATCCTTAATGTTAATATATTTTTACACAATTCTTTGTTTTTACCTGTAATTTATAATATTTTTAAGATAACGGTAATAACAATGGTATTAAAATTATCTCAAATATTACTTTTATTAAGTCGTACCGGCACAATGCAATTGTATTTTAATTATAGAGTTTTTATGAAATGACGTTGCCGTAGCCTTGACGACACATTTGTATGCACATATAGTAGCCACATATGTTTTAATTCGTAGCCTTGGCCCTTCTGCCAAAATCTGTATGCATAATATGCTTTATGTTCTCTATTTACCTGTATAATTTGTCAGTAATTTCGATGTATCCATGTTCGATTCCGCGTGATGTGAATATTTTTGTGGATCAATTATTTTTTCCCGCGTCTTCGTTTGTGTTGACAACGAATATGCGTTAAACTGAAATATATCCTTTTTTTCAAATTTCACGGAGATCCTTTGAGACATTACAGCATGAAGTAGTAACAAACATGTACTCTCTCTCACAGATAGACTTTTGCATTTATAAAATTGTATTAGAATCTATTTACTTTAATAATGTTCTAATATATTTGTTTGTAAAAAGTATTCTTTAAATATGAAAAATATAATCTTTTATCAACAATCCAGATTATTGATTGTACAGAGTAACTACTACTTTATAGTAATAAATCTTACTCACAAGTTATTAATTGCATTTATTGATTTGCTATCTGTAACGTGGAATCAATTCTCCGCAATCGTTGTTGTTGTAGTTATTTAAAGATTTATATCAGTTATTATTTTTGTATACCATATGTGTAATTATATTATATAATCACAAGTGATAATTCAACATAATTATAAAATCTGTATTTCGAAAGGGATTTCATATTGTATTAAAGTATAAGTTATAATTTTTTTTATATTTTCTATATACATATTTTATTTCTTTACAAAATATAATGTTTTAATAATAAACACAAACACATTCTTATCGTATACCTACAATACCTTTTAGGTAAAAAACGTGATGTCTAAATTAAAAACTCTGCAAAATATAATTACGTTAACCAGATTTTTTCGCGAATTTATTTTGATTTTTGGTTCCCGACGTTTCGAATGCTTTACAGCAATCATGGTCATGGGAGAGAGTCTCTCCCGATAAGATCAAAGAAAATCCGAAAAGATAGTTTTATTTAAAATGTCAAGTATTCGCGTAAATTTAAGAAAGTATTACGTTAACCAGTTTAAAATGATTCTTCTTGAATTTGGCCATATTTTTATGCCTGTTATAGGTTTATTCGTCGATTGTAAACAGAATTTTATTTTTCTTTTTCTATCTGAATGGGCCAGACCGTATAGTATATTGTGGACTAACATCATAAATGTCTATTATTTATGTTATATATACTGGTCTAATCTAGACTATGATACAGACTTAACTTCGTGTCGCTCGCATGCGTTTCTAAGTGCCAAGCAGTAGCCTACGTGTTGTTCTAAATTTCATCCAAATCCGTATAGCTTTCAACGAGAAAGAGTTACAAATACAAACATACAACACACACATACAAACTTTGCCATTTATAGAAGTAGTCCGAATATTTTTTGTTAACATCTTTATCACCAAAACTACTAACAACAATTTTACCCTTTTCTTACCTAGCATATGCCAGTCCCATGGCGCAGTCTTCTAACGTCAGCGCCAGTATGGGCCATCGTCTTCACCCACGGCGCGTCAGTCTTCGGATACTTCACCGTCGTGAACCAACTGCCCACTTACATTGAGAGCATACTGGGATATAATATTAAACACGTGAGTTGATTTTATTTCATCAATATTTTTCCGAGACTGACATAAAAAAGTATTTAAATTTGGGTCAAGACAACGACTCTGGGGCCAGTTATTTATAAATATTATGTTTTATACCTATGTATATAGTATACTAGTATCAATGTACAAACGAATATGCCTTTCCAAAGTCACAATTTGTTCCTACATCAGGTATGTATTGTAAGTAGTTTTACACTAATTACTTTTATAGTTAAAAGGGAAATACGCTGTCGTGATCGACGTTATATTTGTGACATCATTGTGAATAGCAAAATACTCAAGTTCATTGTCCACAGTTTGCGAAGGTTTCTTTTTTTCTTTAGTCATGTCTCTGTTAATCTTTACTTCCGAATTTATAAAAAAACAATGCGAATATTAAATTGAACTCTATGCCACGTATTTAAGATTTAAATTACAATAATCTATTACAGCAATCTGTGTCTTGTAGTTACACGCTTCAATACGAGTAGGGCGACCGTAAAACTTGTTTAAACTCGGACTGGTGTATATTTATTTTTTATATTTTGTATGAAATATATAATTTAGAAATAGATTACTGTATTTGACAGTTTAAGTAATAGAAATTTGTTGGTGAATAATATGATATATAATGAAAAAATCACTTAAGGGTTTTGCAATATATATATATATGTATATATATATATATATATTATATAGTAGCAATTAACTCTCGCTTCGCTCAGGTTCGTCCCTAGGTGATACTTTAAATTGATATTTTTTTATTCATGAACCGATTGAAATAAAATAAATACTTAATTCTCAGTGAAGCATGACACAATACATTAGTGAAACCGCACTGAAATCGGTATATTGTTCTGAGATTAGCGCGCACAAACGCACAGACAAACAGACCAAAAATCCTTAAAATCATTCTTTTGGATTCTATTTCGTTAGTAAAGACTCTCAATAACAGTTTTTCTCAAATATCTTCCATGTACAAACAGCGATTAGTTACACTTTTATAATATGTATTGATGTATAATATTTGACATTATATCATATTATATATTAATTTCAAGAACGCAAATAATCTTATTATTTATTTAGCCACGGGAATCGAACTCAAGACCTCTTACAATAGCCATAAAATGAAAGTAGTTACTACTTTTAAGTAATTACTTCAGACTGTTTGCAACGTTTCTTTACTAAGTACAATATTGTTCCACGTGCTTATTGCATTTTCAATAAACAGCATTAAGATAAATTATTTCTTAGAAAATATAACAACGTATAGCTTCATATTAATTAACACGTGTTAGTAATTATAGCTGTGTTTCTATTCAACAATAATAATTTTTATTTTTATATATAATTTAGATTATTTGTTGGTCAAGACAGATACCACTTAATGAGTAATGACTTTGCGTGTATCGGATTTCTATTTTCTTGAGTATTCGCGCTTATAGTTTTGATTCTAGTATTATAACTAGTATATTAACTTTCTTATTATGTAATATAAAATACAAGCCTATTAAATTCTTTATCATTTTAAATATAATGATAATGAGTATAAATTATATTCTAATTATTGACTTGATTAATAAATGATTTTACCAACAACATTACAATTTAATGTCAATTTACTTAAATCTTATTAACCGCGCTAGAGAAAGTTTTGTTTAAATTAGCGGCCATTTTGAAATAGTATTCCGACATATAAACAAAAGTATAAGGTTGTTATTAAATTGATTATGTCACTGAAAGCTTTATCAAAAATTAAAAAATACATGTTTTTACACCAACTCTACATATTTAAATTACTAGAAAATACATAATATTGACATATGCTCTATAGTTTTCATTGTATTGCAGTTAATACAGAGTCTATTTGCGGTTTGATCGTATTGTCATCTCATAATTAATATGCCAATCTTCATATTTAATTAAAATTTTAAAATATTAATTTTATTACCATTATGAAATTAGGTCAATTATAGTTACTTAATAAATATTAATTTACGTGAGGTAAGAAAAATAAAAAAATACATGTATTTTTGTATATTTGCATTTTGAACGCTCAGTATTTATAAGTTGGATTCGTTTTAGTTTATATCCTTTTGACATTAAGACATAAATGAACCTGATGTAACTCTTTCACTCTATTGCATCAGCCAAGAAGTGGGTAACCTCAGGTTTTATGTACAAGATAGCAGGTTTTCCTACATTGGAAACCAGACGCATATACTATAAGAATATGACAAGATATTTATAAATTCTTTGCTAACGATGTAAACCTTAATTTAGCTAACGGTGACTAATTATATACTTGTTGTAATGCTTATATATTTATATAGAAGAAAATGTTAAATATTTAGTATATATTAGCATATATACTAAACTAACTACACTATTACTATATATAATAATACTAAGTATATATAGTAAGCTTCGACGGCTTCTTGAATCAAATACAAAGAAAACCATGTATTTTTTTATAACAACATTTTCATTATTTGAATAACAAAAACATAATAAAAGGAAGCATAAATAAAAATAACTACTTATATTATAGTGCTTACAGGAATACCAGCAGCACTTCAACAAATGATCTTAAGTTTTACAATTAATTTCATAATCCCATAAGTAACATTAGTAATATTTCTTCGACTTTCTTATATGTAGTACATTCTTTTTGTCACGTTTCTACCACAATAGAGTAATATAAAATCATACTTTAATGACAAAGTAAAGCGCACTTAATACAAAATAGAACACTGCATTATAGATAATATTTTGTATACATAGTTTATAACAGCTCAGTTTTTACTTAGAATAACATTAAATCAAATTAGTTATTATGAAAAATTTAGAAAGAAAAAATTATAAATAGCATACACTTCGTGTAGTAGTCGCTTGTAGCAAAATTGATTCGTATTTGTTCTCATAAATAGTTATAATTTAATATAACAAATAATTAAAAATTTATAATTGGCGTAGATATTGCTTGATGAGAAGAAGAAAATCTCCTTTGAAGTTGGTTTTAATTCTGTAATATACCTTTTTAAACTTTTTTTATAAAGTGACGTTAAGAAATTTACCTTGTAAGAATTTAGGTTTAAGAACATATAAGGCACGGTGAACAAGAAATATGTGTAATATAAGATAAATTGAACATTTTAACAAAGCGAAAACATTTTTCGTTTATCCCATGAAACTTGAGGCATTATAAAGAATATCAAAAAAGTTCTTTGTAAAATTGTCCATTGGAAAAATATTATTGGATGATTTTTAAAAGTATACGAATTTACGTACATACATATATTATGCCCAAGACTCGTACAAAGATATTGTATATTTAAATAAATAATCTTATAATATTAACTGAGCCATTTTTATTATATATAAATTTATCTCGTGTATCTCGGAAACGGCACTAAGGATTGAGGTGTATGGTTTAGCTTTTTAAGTATATATATTTAGGTGTCTTTTCAAAAAAAAAAATTTTTTTATCTTTTCCAAAAAAATATCGAGCAAAGCTTTGTCGCCCAGGTACTTTTGAAATGAAAATAAGAACATCGAATATGCTAATGAAGAAAAGTTTATTACAACTAAATAATGGTAAAATCCGTCAACACAGATTGTTTTGTTACCGCCGAGACATCACCTTCTTATGGCTTATATGGATAGCTCATTGGACCTATAGCGTCTTAGTATATTTTTTTTTGTTTTATGTCATAATATTATATTGATGTCAAACAGTAGTCCATGTCATAGTTTATACATAAGTATGTGTTATAAATTAATCCAAATCAGTCCAGCTGTTTCGGTGTGAAGGAGTAAGAAACATACATACACATACAAACTTTAGCATATTCGCATAAAAGTCAAAGTCGCTTTATTTAAAATTTTCATCCATCGGATCGCATGGTCACCCTCACTGCGACGCGGACGTATTTTTTCGCCATCCTTGCCTCGTCGACATTTTGGTATATAGAAAATACTTATCTTATTTATTCATACTTTGCTTTTCGCTTGGAGGTTAGAAACGAAATTTTAATATTTTTGTATAGATTAATCAAATTTCTATCTTTTAAAATACCTAATTAATGTAAACCACATAAAATCAGGCCATTGACGTTATGATTGTCCTCAGAATTGCTTATTAAATATTATAAATACGTATTATAATTGTAATTTAATAGTACAGTTAAAATCTAAAATTGTATAGATGTTACTTTCATGTAGTCCTTACATTAAAAATTTTCAAAAAGCAAACATATTTTTATATAGCTTTAGTGATGTACTACGAGTATATAAATCTTTAAATGATACACATTTTATGACTACACTTAAAAATATGTAGATAATTCAATTGTAACGTGACCTAATGGGCCCCTTGGATTATGGCTCGCAGACGCCATAAACCCCTTTATAGCACATTAAGAAGTTATTGTCTGGCGCTGACTGGGTGTCCAGACGACTTTTAAAACATAAGAAGTGTCACGTGACACATGTGCTTAACGAACAGCTGATATATTTAACCGTTTTTAAAAGAAAAGCGTTCTTACGAATTGTATACTATATATATATATATATATATATATATATATATATATATATATATATATATATATATATTATTTCGTTAATATATATATATATACATATATATATATATATATATATATATATATATATATATATATATATATATATATATATATTAACGAAATCTTTATATTTTTATATATATTTTCTCAATCAAATAAAACTTTTTACCATGTTCTGATGTGACTAACCAGAGGTTAATCAGTGGAAGGGCTGTTCACCCAGCTCTGACCCGTCACCCGACATCGACATTTCTAAGAGTATTGTTATGCAACTCGGTTCCGTACACGTAATTGTAAGTTATGGCTGAATGCATGCGGCTCTTTGTTCTGGCTCGACTTTTATTTTAATTTAGTGAATACGTTTCAATTTTACATGGTAGTTAGATTGCTATCAAGTACATGCTTAGAAAT